AGGCCTGGATGAGAATTTAACGTGTGACCACGTGCCAGAGGAGTTTACACTTGCTTGGCTGGGAATTTGTTTCATGGAAGGAGGTGGAAAACCCTAACCAATGCCTCTTCTGAGGGCTTCTGGTCCTGGCCTCTTTTCTGAGGCCTGGGGAGAGGACAGTTTGAATACGAACTCGAGGAGTTGCGAGTGTGAAGGGTGAGCCTTGGCTTGGCCTTGAAAAGACACACTGGTCTGCTTGGCCACCCCTCCTCGTCGCCTCCTGAGCCCAGTGGGTCCCCAGGGGGTGACGGCACTGACGTCAGCCTTCATGGTAGAGGAATTAGCTGAAGCCCAAAGGGAAAGTGAGGCCAAAAACAGAAAAGTTCAATCAAGCAAGACCAAAGCTATGTCTTTTTTTTTTTTTAAAGCTGTCTTTTTTTTTTTTAAAGCTATTTTTTTTTTTTTTTTTTTTTTTAAAGTTTTTTTTTTTTTTTTTTTTTAAGCTATTTCTTTTTTTTTTTTTTTTTCAATAGCTGTCTTTTGATTCTGTGGGCTCTCAGCAGCTATTGGGCTTTGCCGGATTTTGATAGTAAGAAAGTTTCCAAAAACATAACAGTGAAATCTCAGCATTAATGGGGTCACAGCAGTAAAACAGCTCTACTACCAAGTAGTCTGACTTTGTTAACTCAATGTGAAAGTTGCCCTGCACAGGGTGGCCCGCATCCCAAGCGTGCCCCCAGCACACCTAGTCTAAGGGGAAAGCGTCTCCTTTCAAATAGATAAACACACTGCAGCTAGAGGTGTCTTTAAGAGAATATTCTTTATCCAAGCCAGGGCAGAGAAAGGGTTTCATCAAACAGCTAGCTTCATTATGCACATTTTACTACTATTTTTTTTTTTTTAAAGCCAGCTTCTTTCCAACAGATGAAGAAAGGGAAATCTGGTCAGTCCCCTGGCTGGGGTCCCTGCTGTCACCACCTCACCCGCAGGTCCCTTGGTCTCCATCTGCCATGGCAGATTCTTTTCTGTCATTCCCCCATCAGAAGATGAGAGGCTGTTGCTCGCCTCATCCCGGCATGACACCCAACAGGGCAATGGAGGGGAGCACGTCAGCCACTAATGTCTCTGCAAAAGGCACTGCTTCTCCAAACAGGAGGACGTCGAAGGAATCCCGTGCGGAAAAACAAGAGCTACCTCATCTGATTACTCAGAAATTATCTCTTTCTCTGTTTCTTGTCTGAAGGTGTCTCTCATTCAGACTTGCAAAGCATTCCGGGAGGAAAGAGAAAAGTCTAGAAACCCTGGGTACGATGAACTCCATCATCGTCCACAGGATTTGCTGTTCTCCCAGAAACAAAGATGAGAAGGCCAAAGACGAAGAGTGCTGGTGGCCGGGAGGGGCCGCAGAGCTGATCTGGGATGCCTGGCTTCTTCTCCCGTGTGCGTCTTCAGCATCCCTCCCTCTGCTACCCTCTCCCCGCACTATTATCATTTTCCAACGAAAAATTGTGGTGCGGACTGGAGGAAGGGAGGGGGCAAGTTATTTGCACACCAGCATCCTCACAGGACCACTGCCCCCAGCCTGTCACACCAAACCATGTAAGAGCGTCCACCCAGACACTGAAACACGGAGAAGCACCTAGGGGTGCTGGGTACCAAAGTAGATGCCACTACATCTGAAGTTGCAGAGTTGCATCCTCATGCTGCTAAACTCTCTTTGCAACAAGCGCCCCCAGTAAGCTGTCAGGTGTTTGAAAACAGCTGCTCAAAGAAGCCACCACCCAAGGTCTGCCCACCTGTTGCCCAGAGCCTCTCATGGAACGCCCAGGTGAAGCCGGCTGCACACAGCTTCCTCTCTTTAGCAATGTCTGCAGTGGCTCTTCTCCCTTGGGCTTTTGATAAAAATGACAAATTGCTTTGAAGGAGAACGGAACAAACACAATTGTGAGCTGTGAGTAGCATCAATGTGTACATCCCAACTACAAGGGCATGTAGGATAATAAGTTCAGTGAGGATTCCAGGGAAGTTAGGTTCGGACAGACTATCCATCCCTGCTAGCCGGCAGGGAAGCAAAGCGTAGCATGAGTTCTGCTCCGTGTTCCCTGTTTTTGTCACTCTCCTCTCCTGAATCCATGCCGGCCCCGTCAGCTCTCTGTATCAAAAAAGTCAACCTCCCTGGTGGCGCAGTGGTTGAGAGTCTGCCTGCCGATGCAGGGCACACGGGTTCGAGCCCTGGTCTGGGAGGGTCCCACATGCCGCGGAGCAACTAGGCCCGTGAGCCACAACTACTGAGCCTGTGCGCCTGGAGCCTGTGCTCCGCAACAGGAGAGGCCGCGATAGTGAGAGGCCCGCGCACCGTGATGAAGAGTGGCCCCCACTTGCCGCAACTGGGGAAAGCCCTCACACAGATATGGAGACCCAACACAGCCAAAAATAAATAAATTAATTTTTTAAAAAAAGCTACAGTAATAAAGAGAGTGTAGTATTGGCATCAAGGTAGACAAATAAATGAATGGAATAGAATAGAAAGTCCAGAAATTAAAAAAAAGTCAACCTTATTCACATAACACTCTCTACCTACAATTCCACCCAATCTCGACTTCAAGTTATAGAGTCTTTATGGCCGTATTTCTGTGGCTCTAGCTAGTTCTCGCCCTCTTTGTTGCTGCCAAGATCCAGGGAAGTGCTGGAGGTGTGATGCTCCATTTTTGTGAAATATCCGGTGCCCTCATCCAGGATGTTGGTTCGGGGCGGGGTGTGGAGGTCCAATAAAGACTTCTCTGACTCTTAACAGAGAGAGAACTCTCTTAGCAAGTTATGGCTGTATCCGTTTGCTAGGGCTGCCACAACGGAGGACCACAAACTGAGTGGCTTACACAACAGCAGTGTATTGCTTCATGTTCTGCAGGTTAAAAGTCCAAGATCAAGGTGTTGGATCAACACAGGGCCATGCTCCTTCTGAAGGTGCTGGGGGAGGATCTGGCCCAGGCTTCTCTTGTAGCTTCTGGTCGTTCCTTGGATTGTGGCAACATAAGTTCAGTCTTCACATGCAGTTCTCCCTGGATGAGCGCCCATGTCCTAATTTCCCCTTTTTATAAGGAAACCAGTCATTTTGAAATAGGGCCCACCCCGATGGCCTCATTTTAACTTAGTCATCTGTGAAGAGCCTATTTCCAAATAAGGTCATGGTCATAGGTACTGGGGGTCAGGACTTCACCGTCTTTGGTGGGGACAGGGGCGGGTGCGGGGAACACAATTCAACCCGTAGCAACAAATGACTCTGAACACTTACATCCCCCTCAGCATCACTTAGAAGAGATTCGATGCTTATTGCATTGTCAGTGCTTCTCAGTCCCTAACGTCAGCACTAAATTTAAAACTGTGCCTTGCAAGCGTTTGCTGTTTTCACCATGGACACTTACCAAGGTGCACACAGGAGCACATAAATGCTACCCCAGCTCTGGTGCTGACAGTCCTGGCCCCGGCCCTCCGGAAGGGCACTGTCCACTGCAGACTGAGGAGGACAGGCAAGATGCCTGGACTGAGTGGTGTCTGGCTTTGATCCTGGAGGGAGGGCAAGACTTCGGGGACTAGGTGAGACTATAGCAAATAAAAGTAGCTGGTTTGGCGAGTATACAAATGTGGCTGTCATGATTGGTGAGAGACTGTGCGGCGTCTTTTGTCCTAGTCTAAGAAATGAGGACTTGATCTAGTGAGACCTGGAGAGCCACTGACCAGGAGGGTGTCTGGGAGACATTGCTTTTAGGCGTTTCCCATCCATGAAGGATGGGAAAGGAAAGATAGGACGTCGGAAGAAGATTAAGTGTGTCAGCAGTTAACCTGAGAAGTTACAAGCATGCAGATTGAGGATGCCCCTTGCACCCTCCCACCTCCTGGATGCCTTCTACTTGTCTTTTAGACCCAGGTCAGCTGTCGTCTCCACTGGGAAGCCTTTCAGAGTTACTTGCTCCTTGCAGTTTGGTACCACTGTCCTTGACATATATTGCCACCCCAGCGCTTACCATAGTATTTTGTGGTACTTTCTGTTTCCATGTGCCATCACTGGGCTGTGCTCTTGTGGAAGACATAAGTACTTTTGAATGTGCCTTGTATCCTTTATGATTAGCAATGGGCCAGAGCATGGGAGATGTTCACCCTGAAGTGAAACAGAGACAGACAGGAAGCCTGCTGGCTAATAGTGAATTGACTACAAGAAGAACCAGTCAGGAATAGACTACTAGGGCTTCCCTGGTGGCGCAGTGGTTGAGAGTCCGCCTGCCAATGCAGGGGACACGGGTTCGTGCCCCGGTCCGGGAAGATCCCACATGCCGCGGAGCGGCTGGGCCCGTTAGCCATGGCCGCTGAGCCTGCGCGTCCGGAGCCTGTTGCTCCGCAACGGGAGAGGCCACAACAGTGAGAGGCCCGCGTACCGCAAAAAAAAAAAAAAAAAAAAAAAAAGAATAGACTACTAGACTCTTGGAACTGGAGGGAACTTGACCGTCATCAAATCCTGTTACCATGTAACCACTGGAAATCCCAGATGAGCGGCGATTCCACCTTATTCCGTCCTGGGGCAGCTCCTGCCATAAGAAATGTACAGCAAGAGGAGAATTTGGAGAACGTCTCCAAAAGATGAAGGAGTGAGGTGATGGGCTCAGGATTACTCAGCCGTTAACAGCAATGCTGGGAAATAGAAGAGAAACTGGTAACTTACTGCCAGGCCCACTGAGTCATCCCCCCAATCCCTTGGACCGTAGTTATTACCATTTTGAAGTTTATAGCTGTGGATGCTGAGGCTAAGAGAGGTGAAGGGGCCTGTTCAGGGCTGTACAGGTGACCGGGGGTAGAGCTGAGACGCAAAGACGGATCAATCTCATTTCACTTTCCAACACCACCCCTGGAGAAGACTCAGCATCTCCTGAGACACGTAAAATGCGCCCTCACTTCCTAAACAAACTTCACCAAATCATTTGTGTAGAAATCCCTCCCGCTTTCTTACCCCCATTTCTCTTGCTTTTCAGGAGAGAAGTATGAGCTCCATGCAGGGACTGAGTCCACCCCAAGTGTCGTCGTGCACGTGTGTGACAGTGACATCGAGGAAGAAGAGGATCCAAAGACGTCCCCAAAGCCAAAAATCATCCAGACCCGGCGTCCCGGCCCGCCGCCCTCCGTGTCCAACTGAGCTCACTGCTCCACCTCGAAGAGAATACCCGTCTCCTCTTTATCATGCTTTTTCCCCCCCTGTTGTTTGTTTGTCAAAAAAAAAAAAATTGCCTTTAAATCCCTGGGTGTTTGGTTGTTTGAGATTCCTTCCTTGTAATCAAGCCTCTCGGACAAAAGGGCTAGGAAAAGGTGATATGTTTCCTGATCATATCATACCCATCAAGTATAAGACATTATTTAGAAGATTCTAGAAAAAAAAGTAGTATTTTCTTATTAAACAATCAGCACAGCCTAACCTTCGTGCTCTCCTGTTGATCCAAGCCGGAGACATCAGTGGCAAATAGCACCTGTGTTGCTTGTGAGCCGTTCCAGTCCCAGTCCTGACGTGTGTGCGTTGTTCTTTCCTGGCCACTTAAGTAGGACCATAAGTAAACTTGACTTTGACTGCATGAGATATCCCTATCTGGTCTCCTCAGTCCTCTGCATCCCAACATTCCCAGGACATGCATGATCACCAGCATTTATTTTCATGATTTGACGATATACTCTAAGTCACAGATGGTCAGCGTCCAGTCACGTCCTACCTAGATTAGCAAAATTATCAGCATCCTCCAGCTTATTAACAAGTCTGGGTGTAGTCACTCTTTCGAGTCAAAGACTGCATAGCTCTGTTAAAATTCCTGGAGGAAAAACTGAGCTTGGCCCCAAAGACATCCCTCAGTAGATTTTGAACACGATTTCATTGTAGAAGTTTCCCTGCCTCGTTGGGGAGGCTCGTCCAGGATGATAGAGACCGATTTCAGACAAATCTGTTTATCACAGAAGTTTCATGGTGTCTGAATGATTGTTTTTTTTTCTCTTTGTATATTTGTACAAATGTTTCAGCTGTGCTTTTAAATATCTGGATGTCTTTCACTCTATTATGGATAATGCTGAATTTTGAAAGGGCACAGAACTTCTCATGCCGATCTATAAATGACTAGCCAACATCTTTGCTATCAAGACCAGTTGCTTTTAAATAAAGCGAAGAAGCAAGTGTCGGTTGCAGACAGTTGAAATGCAGCTAAATCGATGTAGCAGCCACTGAGCATATTCAAAGGGAAAGACTGATAGATAAATGTATGCAGTTCCTACTCGTGCAATGCCGTATTGCTCAAAAACGTATTTGTTTTTGTTACATGTGATTTTTCTATTTCTCTAGCCCAAAGTGCATTATAGAAGATACACCTATAGAACCATTACCTTCTGCTCTATGTGCCAGGCCTCATCTACTCCTGTACATTCATGAATTACTTTAGATGCAAATGCCAATTACGATGGAGTGGGGAAATACTTTCATTACCCAAGCCTCAGAAAAACACACAAGAACAATAACACAGCCACCTGATGGAAGGATTGTTGTGGTTTTTGATTAAGGTGTAAGTTTCATCAGAAACGTAAAACATTAGACTGATTACTCAGAAACAAAAGTCCGTTCTACTGTGAATATAGCAATATAGTACTGGATACAGTACAGGGGAAACTGAGGACAGACAGCATTGCTTGTAAAATCCTGAGTTTCCATAGAAAAATGAAGGCTCCTTTGAAAAATAAAATCTGAGGAGTATATAACAAGCAAATGCTTTGACTTTCCTTTTCTGTGAAGGTTTTTGGTTTTTCATGGACAAATGAAAAGATTAGATTTAATAAATAGTGGAGAATTCTTCCCCCTAGTGGAAGAAGTTGAGAACTACAGTCCATTTTGTGCTGATTCTCTTCTTAAGCGTCAGAATTTTTAGAAGGCAGCCTCTAGAGAAACCTGGGTGAGAGAAACTATTTGGAAATGACTTTTCAATGTTTTAAAACAGATCCATCAGACATTTCCAACAAAATTTAGTAAAAGTTGAAATGACCATTGTGTGTCATCAAAAAAACCCTCAGTGGAATGTATGACCCAAGTGGTTAGTCTTGGTGACATTTATTGCAAAGTGTCAATGTTAATCTGTCTCAGATCAAGTAGTTCTCTCATGAGGTTGGGTTTGGGGAGGTGGGGAGAAACACGTGTCCCAGGAGAGGGAGAAGAAACGGGGGACTCCTTGAAGGGTTTCGGTGGCCCCTCCGAGCACCATGAAAGTCACAGTTGCCTCAGCATCTCCGTGAGCCACAGGATGCAAACCTCTTCAGCACTATTTTGAGTTTGAAAAGTTTAAATATGGAGGAGGAGGGGGAGATTGCCACTAACTGAATCATTTGTGCACGTGTATAGCTCAAAGAGCTTAGATTTCAAATATACCTGGTGAATGACTCTGTCCACGTAGTGTAATTTCTGTGTTTTCTGCCTGAGTTGGATATTTCTGAGTGGTGATTGTGGAGGAGGGCGATTCGGCCTATAGTCTTTCTAAGATGTAACCAAGAGATGAAATTAACTCATCTGAGCTCTTCCTGAAATGGGGTGGGGGGAGCTGGTTGGCAGCATCTCACGAAGGAAGAGGAATTCAAGGCTTGGAGGGGCGGGAGGGGCTCTGATAAGGGGTCTGGGAGAGCCCCCTGTTTATTGTCACACTTCAGCCAGCTTGGTCCTAAAAGCCATTCCAAGTGTACACGGACACTTTTAATATAACCCCCACTCTATTCTTTAGTTTAAAACACTGTAATAGACCTGAAGTAGGCAAAATTTTACTACATGGAACACAGAAAGCACTATCATAAAATAAAAGATGGATACATTGTCCTTGACTAAAATTAAGAGTATCTGTTCATCAAATTACACCATTAGGAGAGTGAAAAGGAAAGCCTCAGAGTGGGAGAAGATAAATAATTACATGGAGTTGTGAAATAACTCACATCCAAAATGCAAAAAGAACTTCTGCAAATTAATACGAAAAAGATCTAGGGGGCTTGGAATTCATTTTAAGCACAGTGAGAAGGGTTTTCAGCAGAGGAAATGTATGACCCACTTCACCTTGTGACAGATGCTGCTTTAATAGACACTTCCTAACACAAAGCCACAGCCCTAAGTGTCCAGATACTCCAGTGTGAGGGACCTGACCCTCTACTGCCCACTTTATCCTTGAAAAAGATAGCTTTGAATAGCTGTGTTCATCGCTGCAGCCTTATCTACCGAACTCAGCGCCAACATCAGTACGCAATGTCTTTTCATGACTCTAGAAAAGTTTGTTTTTGTTCTTATTCCTTCTCAAGTCGTTGACAAGGCCCTGGGGCAGGAAAGGGGAGACAGAGCAGGTGATGAAGAATAAGTCGGTGATGCAGGGAAACCTTCATTTATCAGCTGGTATACAGTGTCCCTGCCAGAAGACACCATGCAGAGAGTCACGGAGCACTTAGCAGGCTCAGCCCTTAAATCTGCAATCTGAGAAACCAAAAATCTCAAGCAAAAAGTTTTCTGTCAAACTCATTCATCTGCTCCTTTCCAAGAGAGTCTGGGGAAGTGTTATTGGAGTTGATTCAGGAGCTTTTTATGTCTCTAAAAGGAAACTGTATCCAAGGTTAATTGTGTGTGTGTGTGTGTGTGTGTGAACCCAAGTGCGTTTGGTATAAGTTGGAAATAGGAAGCCCAGAATAAGCTGAAATGATTGAAATACTTTGCACAAAAAAGTATCCCTCCTTGACTCTCTTGCCTTATTTTCCATTTTCACCCAATAATTGGGTTTGAAAACGTTAGGGCTGGGCAGGATTGTGGGGCATCTTTGACTAGTTGTAATCATTAGTGAAATTATTGTTCCCCAAACGGACTTTGGATTTGCCTATGGGGTCATTTTATTCCTAAAGCAAGATTTATAGCTGTTTCTCTAATGTGGCCAGCCTCAGCCCCCGATAGCCTGTTTCCCAAGCCCCAACCCCCTTTTGGGTGGAGACACTCCCGTCCCCAGATGCCGTGCTGTTGGTGGCCCTCCACTGAGTGGCCAGGCACTGCACTCAGCTGGAAGGATTCCCCCACCCAAGGTCACACCCGCACCCCAGGGACAGCCTGCATGCAGTGACTAGCTATGTGGCAGAGGGAAAACCCCATCCTGCAGCTCTGAAAGGCCACCGCAGTTCCAGAGCTCCCTGTGGGGTCGGCTAAGGTCTCTGCATCTCAGTTCAACCCTTTTACTTTGCCTAATTGTATCGCCTTCACTCCCCCATACGTGTGGACCTTAAAGGCTCCCTGGTAAACGTCCTCTAGGCACATCTCCCTCTGAGTCTGTGTCCCAGAGAAACTAACCTCACACATCCTGGACCACCTGTTCTCCATCCTTGGAGTTCTGGGAACTGTACAAGTCTTCTCCATATGTCCCGCTGCCTTTGCATTCCTGGTGTGGATCAGTAGCTTCTCTAAAAGCAGCCCAGCGAAGCTCCATTCCATGCTTTCTTTGTGCTGTCCGGCTGAGTTCAGGGTTGGGGGAGTAGATGTGCTGGAAACTCAGCCCAAACTCCCATGTTGGAGAAAGGAGAGCTTCTCCCAATCAGCCCTGCGGGGGCAGAAGCACAATGAACATCTGTTTTTGTCTGTTGTGTCGACTTAAAAAAAATGCACAACATGAGAGTTGCGAGTTAAGTTTTATTTGGGGCAAAATGAGGAGTGCATCTCGGGAGACAGCATTTCAGATAGCTCTGAGAAACTGCTCCAAAGATGTGGGGGGGCGGGAAACGTCAATATATATGTGATCTTGGTGAAGTGGGAGTACATACAATCAAGCACATATTTTCGCAGAGGTTCTCACGAGGGTTACTGCTAGTCACGAGGAGCAGACATCACCATGAAGGAATTTAGTGCTTTTCTAGATACGAGGAGATGCAAGAACTGGGCTCATAAAATCAGCTCCTGGGGCTTCCCTGGTGGCGCAGTGATTGAGAGTCTGCCTGCCGATGCAGGGGACACGGGTTCATGCCCCGGTCAGGGAAGGTCCCACATGCCGCGGAGCGGCTGGGCCCGTGAGCCATGGCCTCTGAGCCTGCGCGTCCGGAGCCTGTGCTCCACAACGGGAGAGGCCACAACAGTGAGAGGCCCGGGTGTGCCACAAAAAAAAAAAAAAAAAAAAATCAGCTCCTGAAAGCATCTAACTAGCTGAAGACCTGTTCTGCCAGTTTTTCTCAGAGCACCGAGGGCCTCATTCCTGATCTCCACCCTGAGCTCCTTTCGGGGGCTGTTGAAGGTCAGCAACTGCAGCGGCTCCTGATTTAATCCTTGTAGAGTAGATGGCAAGTGCCAATTTGTGGTTGACAGTTGTCAGGGGTCCTTGTGAAAAACACAGATGGGCCTGTGGTAAAGAGGGCTGGACCCGCCCTAATTCTGGCCTGTGTGCCACCCTTGTATCTGAGAAAGGGATAGAGATCGTGTCTATGACTTTAGACAAGTTACTCGAGTCATTGAAACTCAGTTTTGTCTCCTGTAAAATGGGTATAAAAACCCATTTTGTCATGAGGACCTAATAAGCTAGTACTAATAACGGTAGCCATTATTACTGGTGACTGAATTCACAAATTTTGGTGCCAAGTGACCCGGGTTTAAACAACCCCTACCCCCTGCTCTGCTGCATAGCACGCTTGTACTCTTCCCACAGTTTCTTAGCCTAAGTCCCGGCTTGCACATCTGCCAAGAGGACAGGACGATAGCACCCATCTCCTGGAGTTAGGAGGGACTCAAAGAGAAAGTAACTCAAGAGCTGGGCACATAGGACGTCCACGGCCAGTGCTTTCTATGCATCGGGCCCCACGGGGAGCACTTGATTGACATTTATACTCTCATTTCATCTTCATGGCGGAGCTTTCATTTCTCTCGTTTCTCATAAATAACAGGCATCTTGTGTTGAGTGCTCACTGTATGGCAGCTGGTCTCCTAAATTCTTTACATTTTCATTGCATTCTCTCAATGATCCTATGAGGAAGGTACTGATGTCCCCATTTTACATGTGAGGCAGCCAAAGCCCAGAAGTGTTACATCCATGATACGCAAAGGGTGTTCCGCACACACTGCCCATGTCAGCATCAGCGTCCTTCCGGGAGCCGGGCGGAGATGCAGAGCCTCAGTCCCTCCCCTGAACGACTGAGCCAGA